CATACTGTCACGGCAATGAAACAAAACCCTACGAATTTATATACTTTTATATACCCTAACAAAACCCCCAATTTTTTGATACTTTGATATACTCCAATAAAATCCTATGTTTTAATATTTTGCAAAATACTACATTTTTATATATGGCCAAACCAAATCCGACAATTTTACATAATTTGACATTTCCTTCAAAAAAATCCTAATTTTTTTTACACACTTTTATATATCTGTACAAAATGGTACATTTTGTATACCCTAACAAAATGCCTACGTTTTTATATACTTAGATATACTCTCAAAAAAATCGCACATGTTTACGTAGTTTGTTTGTAATTAAGCACAAAACTACACAATGGGTTATCTGTGCTCTGCCCACCACGGGTATCTAAACCCGGATTCTAGCGTTGTAAGTCCGCAGACATACCGCTGTGCCACTGGGGGCTTTTACGTAATGTGTACGTCTTAAAAAAACCTAAAGCTCATATACTTTGATATACCTTAACAAAATCCTACACTTTTGAATACTTGACATACCTTACAAAATTATACATTCTTATATACTTTCACACACCCTCGCAAAATCATACATTTTGATAAACTTTGATATACCTCAAAATCATACATGTTTGTATACTTTGATATACCTCAAAATCATACATGTTTGTATACTTTGATATACCTCAAAATCCTATAGTTTTATATTCTTTGATATACCTCAAAATCATACATGTTTGTATACTTTGATATACCTCAAAATCCTATAGTTTTATATTCTTTGATATAAATGTTTTTACCTGGGAGTTTACTAGAAATTGTGGTTCTAATAACAGCTTTGGAATACATTGCTCTTACGCCGCAGAGCCTAGAGGACGAGGCCACGAATAGATAACCGAAACTTATTCAAGTTTTGTATAAAATCTAAAAACAATAAATCTAATACTATAAATAAGATTTCAAAATGATACAAATATCAAAAACAAAATCAGATGTTCAATATATTTAATATATATTTATTTATTGAGTAAATTTCCAATTCTCTCTCAGGCCCATCGCCGAACAGATATATAGTGATAAAATTTTAAACTAATCTGCAGTGAATGTACGTGACCAATGTGTTTGCAAACAAAACAAGAGGGCGCCACGCAGCGTTGATCCTATTCGGCCTAAAAGAAATTACGAAAATGTGTCCGTGTGTCCGTTGGTAACCATTTTTTTGCAGAACAATGGGGAATAATTTTCTACACGTGTCCACAAAATGGGCTATCTGTGCTCTGTCCAGCACGGGTATCGAAACCCGTTTTATGGCTTTGGAAGTCCGCAGACATACTGCTGTGCCACTGGGTGGCTAGACAACACGAAAGCGTTGTTACAGTTTTTATCACTTACCCACGTTATGCATTTAAAATAGAATAATTTGAAATGTTTATTAATATATAGGAATGACCCCAGTGAACATATCTGTTAGTCATGACCCCCAGTTCTGAGGGTTGACGTCTATGGTTCCCCATTGTTCTATATACCTCGTTGTCTGAACCAACTTTCTTAATTCAAGCTAATGTCGTCGAGCCACGTGAGTCTCTGTCTACCTCTTGCTCTTCTTCTTTGGATTTTACGTATCAGAATATCTGCCAATTTTCTCTCAGATCTAATTATATCCACAAAGTAGCGTATATTCCGTTCCTTACATACGTCTAGCAGTTGTCTTTCTGGTGTGGGGTTGGTTCCATTATGAGGGATCCACTCATCGCCTAATCTATCCAGATAACAGCTGTTTGGCCAGTAAAGCTAAGAGTGGTCTCTCCGTACTATATAGCTCGTTATATCTAGGGGGTCCTTCAAAACTATATAGGACTAGTTAGCTGTAGGAGTCCTTCCGTACTATATAGTTCTAGTTAGCTCTAGGAATCATTCTAGAGCTATATAACTCTCTAGTTAGCTGTAGGAGTTCTTCCGTACTATATAGTTCTAGTTAGCTTTAAGAATCATTCTAGAGCTATATAACTCTCTAGTTAGCTATAGGAATCATTCTAGAGCTATATAACTCTCTAGTTAGCTCTAGGACTCATTCTAGAGCTATATAACTCTCTAGTTAGCTTTAAAAATCATTATAGAGCTATATAACTCTCTAGTTAGCTTTATGGATCATTTTAGAGCTATATAACTCTCTAGTTAGCTTTAAAAATCATTCTAGAGCTATATAACTCTCTAGTTAGCTCTAGGAATCTCAGTTTAAATGCAATACAAGTCTGATGAAAACTCACTTAGTAAGAAACAGAAATGTCTGACGAAAACTGACTTAGTTAAAAACAGAATACAAATATGATGAAACTCAGTTAGAAACAGAATGAGAGTCTGATAAAAATCACTTCCTTGGACGTAGAATATAAGTTTAATGAAAGCTCGGCTAGAAACTGAACCCAAGTCTGATGAAAATTTACTTGGTTAGAAACAGAATACAAGTGTGTGATAAAACTCACTTGGTTAGAAACAGAATACAAGTGTGTGATAAAACTCACTTGGTTAGCAACAGAATACAAGTGTGTGATAAAACTCACTCGGTTAGAAACAGAATACAAGTGTGATAAAACTCACTCGGTTAGAAACAGAATACAAGTGTGTGATAAAACTCACTCGGTTAGAAACAGAATACAAGTGTGTGATAAAACTCACTTGGTTAGCAACAGAATATAAGTGTGATAAAACTCACTTGGTTAGAAACAGAATACAAGTGTGTGATAAAACTTACTGAAAATAAATCTGATAATTCTTCTTTTATAGAAATATGAAAATCAGTTTATTTTTCTTTAAGAGGTAAATAGAATGTGATTAAGTAATCTCATTATAAAGGCAAAAATAGATAACGAGAAAGCAAGTTTAATAATATCTTCTGATTAAATCACCATTCATCAGAACTGTATATATACTAGTAAGAGCACGCAATGTCATAAAACTAAAATATCATTAGAGGATTCTCGCTGTTGTCGAGATTTTTGGCCATAATCCCACTAATATATCAAGACTTACGGCCCGTTGAAAAGACTGTGGTTAATCTTAATCCCTCAGCTAAGCTAACAATGCAAGATAATCCTCTAATTTGAGAAAAGAATTAATCAATGAAAAAATTCGAAAAATAAATGTGTTATAATTATAAATATTGAATTTTCTAACCAGCACCGTCTATGAAAAAACTGGTTATTTAATTCGTGCACTATTACCGATATGAGACACATAAAACTGGTTATTTATTTCGTGCACTATTACTAATATAAAACATATATAACTGGTTATTCATTTCGTGCACTATTACCGATATGAGACACGTAAAACTGGTTATTTATTTCGTGCACTATTACTTATATAACTTATATAAAACTGGTTATTCATTTCGTGCACTATTACCGATATGAGGCACGTAAAACTGGTTATTTATTTCGTGCACTATTACTAATATAAGACACGTAAAACTGGTTATTTATTTCGTGCACTATTACTAATATAAGACATATAAAACTGGTTATTCATTTCGTGCACTACTATCGATATGAGACATATGAAACTGGTTATTTATTTCGTGCACTATTACAAATATAAGACATATAAAACTGGTTATTTATTTCGTGCACTATTACTAATATAAAACATATAAAACTGGTTATTTAATTCGTGCACTATTACCGATATGAGACACGTAAAACTGGTTATTTATTTCATGCACTATTACTAATATAAGACATATAAAACTGGTTATTCATTTCGTGCACTACTACCGATATGAGACACATAAAACTGGTAATTTATTTCGTGCACTATTACCTGAAGTAATACAAGTAAACTAATGACTTAATGTCATGTAACAAAGCTTGCATCAAGGGTGGTTCATTGTGCCAAAAATCATAACTTTCTTCATTTAATCTATCTACATTCTGTAATACAATGCCCAGAGATAAAAGTATGGATAAAGAAAGCCTAAACTAACGGGAAGAAACACTACTGATGGTCGCCGTACTAAAATTGTTCATTATTGGTATTTAATTTAGTTAAGAAATTACGTTGAGGATTAGATAGTTTTAGGATTTTGGTAAAAGTATTGTAGTTCCATAAGAAGATATTGATTGTATGTGAGGAGAAACCTTTTGTTCCTAGAATCTTTAATAGTAGTCAAGTATTATAACAATAAAGTCATGTTTTAGTATTTCATAGCTCTAAGTGTTAACACTAAAGTATCCTATTTCAGTATTTTATAGCTCTAAGTGTTAACACTGAAGTATCATGTTTCAGTATTTCATAACTCTAAGTGTTAACACTAAAGTATCCTGTTTCAGTATTTCATAGCTCTAAGTGTTAACACTAAAGTATCCTGTTTCAGTATTTCATAGCTCTAGGTGTTAACACTAAAGTATCCTGTTTCAGTATTTCATAGCTCTAAGGGTTAACACTAAAGTATTCCTGTTTCAGTATTTCATGTCTCTAGGTATTAACACTAAAAAGTCCGGTTTCAGAATAGACGCACTTATAATGATAACTCTGAATTCTTAATATTACTGTTTTCTACATTATATTTATTAACCGATATTTATGTTAAATTCACTTTTCTCGTTTCAAACTTAAACCAGATTTTAGCATAAGTATAGAACATTTTGTGAGAATAAAATTTAAAAAATAACGTTATTTCTTTTAAGCTAAGTCATTTTATTTCAACAACGGTATCTATTTATCTCTTATAATGTTTAAACAGAATAGTATTGTTTCCTCCGGGTTGAAAAAGTATATTAAAACCGAGTTTATGACATTGCTTTTCTATTGTCCTTTACGGATAAAAAAAAAAACGTTCCATTAAAACGCTGTTGTACTTTTCTTGCAAATAAAATGCAGTAAAAAATTTTGTTTTCAAGTTAAAGAACTACTATTGCTTCTTTATCTTAAAAAGTAATCATTGTTTTTACTTTATTTTGTTGTAACGACAATCTTTTTAAACCAAGGGCCTAAAAAATCAATAATACCCTTCTTCGGATTTTGTAGAGATTGACTTGAAGTAAAATTAGTTGAAATACAAGTTGATTTCCGACATCTTTCTCTCATTCTGCAAACACGTCCATAAACAGCGTCTGCTATTACTTTGGTAAAGATTGTAATTTCCTAAACTAAGATAAGATTGAATACACCACAGGGCTCCGGAGTAATTATAGCGGATGTCGTCTTAGGTGCTCCGTTTTCGTCCCCGAAGCAGAAAAGAGAATCATCTTTCTTGCCTGATCTGTTTTCAATCGATCAGGTTTCACGCTTGCTTCTCATAAATGTCGCTCACTGAGTAATAAGTTGGGCTTAACGGTCCATGAAAATTGAATCTCGTCCGACGCCCGAGGAGCTAGATATTAGGTCCCGAATAACCCAGCGAGCGATCTTCCTTTGGTGACAGTCAGAATCTGTGGCCCATTGTTACGTACGGGCAGTTAGCTCCGCTTAGAAAACACTACTTATCGTTTTATATAGACTTTGAGAGTTGAATGGAAATGAAACAGAAAACGTGTATGTTTTTTCCACTTTATTCCATTACTAATGTTGTCCTTTACATTACATTACCTTCATATAATATTATTCAAGCTACTTCCTAACAAAACAAACTCGTTACAGCATTAAACTCCCAAAAGACAGGACATCCTCTATACCGACTTAATAACAAATATCAAACAATAAAATAAGCTTATAGCCAGTAGCGATGAGTATGTATACTTATTGTTAAGTTTAGTATTTAGCAAGGATAATGTAACACTACACACGAGCTAATAACATAAACTTTTCACTACTCTGTGTATGCAAGTATGCGTCACGTTAATGGATAGCTTTTATACTGATAATGATAAATAATAACTATTGATAGAGGTTTCAATAAAATCACATCCACGAGGACTACTCGTGTGTTTTTACATAATCATATCTATAAGGACCACTCGTGTGTTTTTATATAATCACATCTATAAGGACTACTCGTGTGTTTTTACATAATCATATCTATAAGGACCACTCGTGTGTTTTTATATAATCACATCTATAAGGACTACTCGTGTGTTTTTACATAATCATATCTATAAGGACCACTCGTGTGTTTTTATATAATCACATCTATAAGGACTACTCCTGTGTTTTTATATAATCACATCCATAAAGACTACTCGTGTGTTTTTATATAATCACATCCATGAAGACTACTCGTGTGTTTTTATATAATCACATCTATAAGGACTACTCGTGTGTTTTTATATAATTACATCCATGAAGACTACTCGTGTGTTTTATATAATCACATCTATAAGGACTACTCGTGTGTTTTTATATAATCACATCTATAAGGACTACTCGTGTGTTTAAATATAATTACATCCATTTGGACCACTCGTGTACTTCTACATAATCATATTGATCAGGACTACTCGTGTGTTTCTACATAATCACATTGATCAGGACTACTCGTATGTTTCTACATAATCACATTGATCAAGACTACTCGTGTGTTTCTACATAATCACATTGATCAAGACTACTCGTGTGTTTAAATATAATTACATCCATTTGGACTACTCGTGTATTTCTACATAATCACATTGATCAAGACTACTCGTGTATTTCTACATAATCATATTGATCAGGACTACTCGTGTGTTTCTACATAATCACATTGATCAAGACTACTCGTGTATTTCTACATAATCATATTGATCAGGACTACTCGTGTG